TGGGATTCAGTTAAGAGAGTCTGTAATAATACACAACAGACATGACGAACTGGAGCTGAGACTGAAGAACCGGAATACTTTCCATCTTCCAAATCCTCACTGTGGCCACTTGAAGATGCTGCAGTCGCTCTGTATAGTTTCTAAAATATTGATTTGTCAAACTAAATTCATTTTCTTTTTTCTTTTTCTTTCCTGTAGTCCACAGTCTGAGTGACCGCTCCACGTTTCACATCTGCTGCGTGGGTCGTGACCTCTCCTCTGTGGGTTGTCTGTTTGCTGTAGTGATTCCTCCTGGCGTTCTGTGTTTTTTTTTTTTTTTTTGGCTCATTTGAAGGTCCCATCTGGGGAGCACAACCTCTGTGCTTATGTAACAATAAACAAAAGTGTGCCGAATGTGAGCTGACTGCTGCCTCCACAGTAAACACAGACACTGCAGTGTTCAGTCTAGTTGAACGTTTTGTAGAGAAGAAATTCTGTAATTGGTTTGACATCCACGGTGGTGTGGTTTTTATTCCAGTTCAGTTTTCTTGGTGTTCATGTGTATGTTACTTTGTTTCATGAAGAAATGCACTTCTGCATTAATATTGAAAGGCCTATCAGAGGATTTTAGCCTACCCTGCAGAAGGTTGTTGGTTTGATTGTTGGTTTGCATCAGGAAGGGCATCTGGCGCCTCCTGTGGCAGCATGTGTTGGTTGCAAAGACCCCATTGTGATACAAATAAAACACTCAATAATTATTTATTACAATATAATACTTTATTGATTTACCTAAACCTACTGGTCAGCCCTGACCAGTCCACTGCCCATTATAGGATCAAGCAGATGGTCTAGATGGGCTGCGTCCCTCAGGGTCGCGGCCTAAAATGCCATTTCAGTAACATGACACTCTCACCCTCTGTCTGTTGATGTTTTTGAAGAGAAGTGTTTTAAAGCTGACTGAAGTCAGGATGGAGTGTTCTTGGTGGTTTGCGATCTGGTCTTTTTGGAATTTTTTGGGCAACACTGTGCTCAATATTTCATGACATTTTTTTTTAGCGTCCCAGGAAAATGTTGTGACTTCATTTTGCTTAACTACCATATCTAAATGAGATATCTAAATGCCCTCCGTCGTCCGGTGAGCCTTACATGTGGTCAGGGCCCTGACCTTTTGAACCTGCTTCAAAAGTACACCGTCTCCCTTCGTGCCGTTTTTGTCATGCCTCTCAGTCACAGGCCCATTCTGTCTGAAGTCCCCCCCTGAATTGGCCTAATGATGTGTCATTATATAAAGTGCTCAACGAGAGCCTCATGTGATAATGTCTGTTTTAATTTGGCGGCGGAAGCTTCATCAAAGCAGCCTCATGCTGTGCACACGCACACACAAACGCACACAAACACGGACTGAGTGAGAGTGTCCGACCGGCTCGTGATAATCCAGACCAGATGCTCTGATTCGACCAGCTGAGCTGGAGGCTCTCGGGTCTTCTTTTCATGGAGAGAGAACATTTCAGAGGATAAACACACAACTCACTCTGCGTCCAAAGGCCCGGCTGTTGTGCCTCGTGTTTCATTCTCGATTTACAGTGTAGTTGAAAACAATGTTTTTTTTCTTGGCTCTCTGATTTTCTCTGGTAACTCTGAAATTAAAGAAACAAATAATGCATATAAATCCTACGGGTCAGGCTGCAGTACCAGCACCGGCCAGAAGGTTCTGGCTCAGTTTATTTTAGTTTGAAAACTGTAACAAATGCACATGAAGCAGCCACGGCAGCAGTAGCAGCCAGACGGACAACTCAGAAAGAAAGAGCTTCTAATGAGCGTGAGAGTCATGCTACCTAAGGTCAGAGGTCACAGACTGATGTGATCTCTGAGCTCAGGCAGAGAAAGTCTGGTTTGACTGTGGTCTGTGAATGTTGAATACGTTTTAACTGATTTACCTTTACAAAGTTCTTGACTTCTGGTAATTATGAGTCGTGTGAGACGTAGGGCGACGGAATCAAAAACATCAGGGAACTTGGAGTGAAGTAGTCACCTTCACATCGCACGTTTTTATTGATAAAAATCACAGTTCTCTGTGCTTATCACAATTTCTTCTTTAGTTTACACAGCAGCGTTTGTTGACGGCATTTCGTTACGATAAGAAACAAGGCCACATTCCACATGCTGACATTTTGCTCTGTAAATTGCATTAGTACAATGAAATTATACTCAAATGTTTGTCGATCTCCAAGGCGAATCCCTCATTATCACGTCTACGTCTGTTGTCTTTAATCACCCAAAAACCCAAGTGGTCGTATTAGTCGTACGACAGTATTTCACTGAATTAATGTCGTCGTTTTAACGCAGGGTGAACGGCACCGAGCCTTAAAAACTTTTGACCCCGACGTGATTTGAACACGCAACCTTCTGATCTGGAGTCAGACGCGCTACCGTTGCGCCACGAGGTCCTGTAACGTGAGACCCCGCAGCTACGGACATCAGCCGTGTGGGAATAGTAACACTTGGCGGAAGCTAACGCAGCAATCATGAAACACACAGGCACGTTCTCACATTCTGTCACACACACACACGGCATATTTTTCTTCTTTTTTTCCCGTCCCTCCTCCTTTTTGTCAGTCTCCTTCAGGGCCCCAGTCCTTGTGTGGTCTTTGAGAGAAACGGACAACCCACTCTGATACAAAGACTCAGATAATGATGTGAAGGCGGCTATTGTCTGGCTTCATGTCACAAGTTTGTGTGTGTGTGTGTGTGTGATAGAACCAGAGAACAACTACCTCTCTGTTCCCTCTCACCTTCAGCTCTGGATCTGATAAGTGGTTACCTGATCAGACGCGGGCGCTTGTGTGTGTCATGTCGCTCGCTCGGTGCATGCATGAACGAGCGCGGCTGACATGTGACCACAGGAAACAGGTCACTGGTGCAGCGGCTATAAGACCAGTGGACAATACTCTGTGGCACACCCTGCATATATTTGCCTCCATTTATCGTGTCTGGATGCAAAGCCTTCAGTCTGGTCCGTGACTGCCCTGAAGACGACCAGGTGACGAAATACAAGATGACTGTCGCACAGGCTTTGTACGTCTAAAATGTTTGTTACTCCGGTCCGTCTCCATGGTTGCAGGTTCAATTGCTTCATCCTTAGGCGCACAAAACCCTTAACATGCTGGTCACTAGCCTGCTGCAGTTCCTATTTGACCACGCTCCATAAACAGAATACAAATCTGAATTGTTTGTAATGCTAAAAAAAACTGTGAACACTCCTTTAATTGGTGTCTTCAATGAAGAAATCAAAGTCAATAACACCAAATAACAGAGTCATGTCTCAGTTCCCCAGTGGGGGGCGCACCCCACACTTTGAGAAACGCTGATTTAACGCAAGTCAACTTTGTGACCCATCTCTTGTGGTTGACGAGACAGGCGGAAATATAAGTTGTTGCTGTCTGTTCCAGTCTGATATTTCTGGTTAAAGAATTGTTCACTAATGCTAATCCTGTTTGACCAGTAGCCTAGACGCTAGCTCAAACACGCTGTATCTGTCAAGTGTCGATAACATTCAACAAGCACAGGTTAGACTTGTTCAAACTTACTTCTTCCTGTTGCAAGACGAGGCGCTGTAAGGCAGACGAGTACACGTTCTCCCTTTTCTTTTCTTTTTTTTTTTTACTTCCTGCCCAACCCCACAGACGCTCTCGGGTCTGACTGTTAATCAAGCAGCACGTTGCTTGTTCTTATCAGATCAGTTTAGCTCCTGCGGTCTGCGTCCTTTTGTTAATGAAATGAAACATCGCAGATGCACACTGTAATTACGCAGAAGGACATTCTCAGGACATGAATTGTAATGGGATGATAAAAAAATAAAAACTTTTCAAACCAGCCTGTGACGCTGTATGGGATTTGACATTGAACTTCTCTCAGGTCATTACAGTTATTAGCTTTTTAGCTATCATTTTTTGTCAAAAATTAGAATTAATTGGTGGCATGATTATAATTAGTTCACGTGGAAAATGTTAACCATTGCTTTCGGTTCATGGAACTGAAGACCTTGATGTGATTTTTATTTTATTTTTTCTTAAATGTCAATTTTTTTCTCCAGAATCAGAGCATGTTCTTTTCTCAGAATGGTATTAGTTTCTTGTAATACGTCTGAAGAGCACATGTGGTTAAAGACACCAGAATTGGTAGGCTACAGTTTTCTTCCTGTTCAGTACGGCTGTTGTTTTGTGGTCTGTAATCTCTTCCACAGATGGTACGTCCATGTAGTGTCTGTCTTCAAATGTTTGGTCTTAGCGTTGGGGGAAAAAAAACAAATACTATAATTCACCGTCAGGCTGCACGCTCCTTAAGAAAATGGAATCAGTCGAGAGCAACAACAGCACAACAAATACAACGAGTACACTCGAGCTGTTGCCATCATGGCTGTAATTGGCATAATATTGGAATATTAAATAAAACATCGTCCGTTAGCCTCTCTGTCCTCGTCCCGTCTTCAGAGAACGTCCTTGATGAACTTGCCATCCCCTTCCCACTAACTGACCTTAGAAGGAAGAAGAAGAAGAAGAAGAAGAAGAAAAAACCACACAGCCATTCCCCTCATTAGCTGGACCATTCTGTCTGGTGAACCACAATGAAGTTCAGTACAACAGAGCCGTGCATGAAGGCATTCGACCGCAGACCTGGAGACAGCTTAGTTTGAAGGGAAAGACGTCGGACGACGGGGCGAGAACTGAACAGTCCGCCTTAAAAAGAAGTAAAGGAACGCTCTTTGACCTTGTGTCTGACTGACTTGAGTGGAAGAATTATGAAAAATGCTGTCTTCAGGAATGAATATTTTCTTTGGAGGGAATTTGAAATTTTGACGTCAGTCCAGTGGGCTGAGAGCTGAACAATTCCACGAACCACAGCAGGTCAGCTGATTCTTCAGGAGTCAGCCAGTCCATTTGGGCTGCAGGACATGTAACACAGTGTAGGATCTAATCATCGAGCTAACGCTGTGTTTTGTTTTTTTTTGTTTTTTTCCCCAGGACCTTAACTACTGGGTGCAGGTCCACAGGCTGGAGCATGGAGACGGAGGCATCTTGGACCTGGACGACATGCTGCGGGACGTGGTGGATGACAAAGACCGGGTGAGTTAAAGCTGTGTGTGTGTGGGGAGAGAGACGATACGGGTAAGAGAGACAAACCTGGCACCAGGACAGATGTGCTGCTGATTACACCTGTCTCATGATTACAGTATTAGAACATTAGCAAACAGCATGTTCTCTGTTCAGTCGCTCCCACCTGTTGGCAGTCCTCACAAACCGCGTTAATGATAAGACGACAGTCGGTTGTGTCACGTTACGGTTAGAGTTCCACTCCGATGAGTCAGACAATAAGAATCTTTTGTCAAAGGCAACACGGGTGATACTCTGCTCAGACCAGCTGTAAATGATTACCCATGCTGCATCACTCCCCTTGGGAACAGCGCTGACTACACCTGAGTCACCGCACGCTCCGTGAGTCGGAGGTGGTTTATTAAGGTGAATCAGTTGGAGGTGGTCTGTAGACCGTGGTCTGTAGACCGTGGTCTGAGTGTATGCGCACTGTGTGTTGTATGTGAGTGTGTGTGTTTTTGGGCATCGCCACCTTTTGTGACTCTTCCGCAGCTCCATGATTGGACGGTGCCATGGTTACACCCCAGGTGGGATCAGTGGTGAGAGCAGCTGTTTTGCACCTGCTCTCTGAAACACTTCTCCCACTTTTTTTTATTTTTGTTTTATCCGTTTGACTCCTCTTTTTATCCACATACATTATTTGAAAATCATTACCAGGATTGAAAGGGAATTTCTCCCTTTAATGATCACTGACTTTGATTTTCTGAATATTTGCTCCCTCTAGTGGATGTCAATGCATATTGCAACGTGCTCTACTGTAGATATTTTGGTCAAAATTCTGTATTTTTTTCTTTTCCTCTTCTTTATAATAAGACCGTTCCTGCCTTAACCTTTTACATTGTCACATGTTTCAAATCTGTGGTGGCAACTTTTCAGTTTTGCTCCAGACGGGCAGTCAACTCTCTCTGTGTGTGTGTGTGTGTGCACCTGAGTCGACAGTGCGTGGGGGTGTTTGCTCTTTTGTATATGCATGCAGTTGCAGTAGCAGATCCAGTCAGTCCAGATCTGTATTTCACTGTCTAATCTACCAAAACAAACAGGCAGGGACATGGCCAGACCAGGCCCTGGTCGTTACAGTACGTCGACAGGCAGAAGCTTGGGAGATTCTAGATGTTGAGGTTTTTTTTTCTTTGTCGGAAATGCACATTGATTATAGCAGGTTCTGTCGATTTTGGGTCAATAAAACAGAGAGCTCCTGACTGTACAGCAACATTGACTCTAAAGCTGACTTTTTCTACACTCTGTGATGCATTACTTGAATGTAGTACTGAAAATGTACACATTAAGTTGCTATTTACTAGAAATAGATGGTGCTCAACTGATCCACATCTTCAGAGAAGCTAAATTAACCGTATACATATGTGAATATTCAAGTATTTACACAACTGGCCTTCAAGCTGCTGCATGGTTTAAATCCACAGTAAGTAGATCAGCCGATGTCTGCAACAGGTTTTGAATTTCTGAATTCTTGATACTGATCGGTGCTTCAAGCTTCAAGTTAGAATAAAACTATGTTAGAAAAGTATGGTTAACAACAGCACTAGATGATGTCACAATAGCTAACTGTCAAGGATTGGTTGTTATAAAACTCTTATTTAATGTCATAAGTGTACACTGCGCTCGTCTTGTTTTTAATGTAAGACTTCTTTTTCTTCTTTGCCGTGTATCACCTCTGTTAAAGACTCTAAACCCTCAATAACAGACTGTGTTTGCTGCTAACAGCCATAATTACAGCCGTCGTTGCACTAAACAGGAAGGCGCCGTACAGTTAGGTCTTTAGAAGAATGAGCTCATCCTGTGTCACTCGCACAGAAAAGGAAAGACGACAGAGCGGAGGGGATTAAACACACCACCGTCTGTGTCATCCAAGAGCTTCGCTCCTTCCATTGTCGTGTTGGACCTGGTCCAGGATCAGCGGTTAGATATAAGCTGTGATTCACGTTCGGTTCACGGTGCAGCGTGCCGCAGCTTGTCTTCCTCTCCACTCCACTGATCTCAACACGGATGGTTTAATCATCATCTTACCTTTGTGTGATAAAGTACGACAGCGTGTACTTGTGCGCACAGGTACATTTTGGTTTTGTGTTGCACTAATGACACCCAGGCTGTTATTTTCTGCTAGTATTTCCTCCGTTTTCTGTGTTCAGTTCAGGACCTTCTCCCGTTCAGTTCTTTGTGTTTCGGCCTCCGACTGTCACACACAGCAGTGAGTGTCTTTTGCATGTGACACAAATTAAATCTCTTGTCAGAGTTCACCATCATTCAGCTCTGCAGAACCCCGTCTGTTGGCAGGAGCAACAGACTCTTTGACTCACTGCTGCCACCAACTGGCAGAGAAAGTGGATCATTTGGATTTGTTGAAAACAGAAAATAATCACTAAATTAAAATGAAATAACATTTAAAAATAAAATGGAAATATATATAATATGCAGTACAAGATCAATACAATATAAAAAGGATCTAAGGACAAAAAATTAAAAATGTTAGTCCAAAATTAAAATGAAATAACATTTAAAAATGAAATGGAAATATATATAATATGCTGCCAAAATATATTGAAATATCCTCTACATGTATTTGATTAAAAAAAAAAAAATTATTCAAATTAGTCCATATTGTTTCAGTTTTAATCACCCTGCATAATTATTACAGGTTACTGTTATACAAAAAACTAAAACAAATAGACTAAAATATAATTTTGGCCCAGAGTAGTTAATGACTTTTTACAGAAACCAAGAAATAAAGAAACAGTCGCCCAGTTTTTCCATTTCTCATTATTAACTGCAGCTTACATGTTTTTGCCCCATGGCAAGTGAAATATCTCACAAAACTTATAATTCTGTGAAGGAAAAGGAAAAATGTTTTTCTGTCTAAATGCCACAGAAAAATATAAAAAAAAACCGAAACACTTTAAGCGACACAATGTGTGAAAATGACTGCAATTCCAACACTCTTCATCCATCCACCAGATGGCAATGAGGCAATAAAATGACTTTTGGTTCGATGATGGCTTTAGCTAACAAATTAGCATAACATGTCTGGTGAATGAATACAGTGGGCGTGATATGGCCAATTAGATCTAATTAGATTCAATGTTAATAGTCTTGGCAGAGAGATAAAGATTCTAAATGTGGTCGGTGGTACGGCACTCCAAGAGCGTTGACGATAACAGCGATATTTTCCCCACGCCTGTGTTCATGCTGCATTCAGAGGGATTAAAGGTTAATTTACTTCCTGTTCTTGAACATAATAATCCAGTCACTCCTGTCTGGTGCTTTGTCAGCACTTTAGTGCCTTTGAAACTGTTTCTGAACTGCAGCAGGATCATAATCCAACACTGCTGCGTTGGGCTTCACCTGTTGTGCAGATTGGTGTCTAGACGTGGTTGGTCCGCTGGGACCCCTGATAACAAAAAGGAAAACGATTACCTTGGTTGAGCCCCTCCCCTGAGTATTTGTAGTCCAGGCGGTTCATCCTCATTAGCGGAGGTGAGTCAACGTGAGCTTTTCCCATGAGTTGGATGACAGAAGGGCCAGAGGTTGAATCCTCATAGGTGATTATCAGAAACCTCATTAAAGCGGTACATGAAGGCCCTGAATCAGCATTACAGGGATTATTGTTTTTACCATACCAGACCTGGTGCTCAAAGGGTGCTGCAGTGTCAACTTTCAACCACAGGGGGGCACTCAAGCTTAGGTTAAAGGGACCCAGGGTGTTATGTGAATAAACTGCAGCCCTGACTTAATTTTTGGAATAACAGACACGGTCGTTTGTGTCTGGGAGAAATAACAAGTGCAGGGTTTTTAATAAGGAAAGACGACGCTAATTCTGCAGCCTCTCCCACCGACGTTTATAGGCCTCACTTATTAAGAAGCACAACTGCGTCCCCTAGTTATGCACCTCCTCACAGAATTGGCATTTCCTTTGCCCATAAAGATGGTATCGTCATGGCAACAATTGTCAGGCCTCAACTGGGCACCTGGGCTGGTCGGGATCAAGGCGTGGGGGAAATTAGCCTGGGCTAAATCAGGGTACCAGTACCTGCCCCCTGGTACCATTACATCGCCGGGGGAAATCAGAGACTAATTACACACTCTGTGTGTGTGCGTGTGTGTGTGTGTGTGTGTGTCTCATTAAGTAAATATTGTTGTGTCTGGTGTTGCCAGCTCCACTCAGGCAGGGTGGGCTAAAACCCTTTTTTATTATTTATTGTTATTTAGAAAAAAAAACAAAACATATTTTTATTGTTAAGTGTTTTAAATAGAGTTAAATATGTATTTAAAGTATGCAAATATATATGTTATTACTGTTTGTAATACTGATGTTTGAAATCTGGATAGTTTAAAATACCACCTTAAAATAAAATTATTCAATTATGTTTATTGAAAAATGTTAAATCTAACATTATACTGCGTCACCTGCTGACATAGAGGACACACTGAACTATGAACATAGTTGAAGTATCCTGTCAAAACTCCTGCATACCTCCACCCACTATAGAAAGTCCCCCCTCCTCACACACAGTGTACAGGACTGGGGCAGATAAACAAGCTGCAGTGCATGATGGGAGGTGACACTTAAAGTTGAGTTTTGAAAGTCAGCTAAAAATAGAACCCTGACACTATGTCTGTCTTTTTTTGACAGATATACTGACAGGGGACCACACACACACACACACACACACACACACACACACACACACTCACTGTCAATGCCTGTATTGAGACTAAAGAAACATCAGAGAAAAATGAGACATCAACCTCACACGGTCACATGAGAGCACGAGCAGAGGGGCCAGGTCACCCATGCCCCCCCACACGCAGCGACACACACACACACACACACACACACACACCCACCGTGCTGCAGTCAGCAGTAATTAGTCTGTAAGGCCTGCAGTCAGCGCCGCGGACTCGGTGTAGTAACAAAATTTATCCCGACTTCTGCTGCTCTGCCTCCGGGGCTGCAGGCT